CAGGAGTTCGAGACCAGCCTGGCCAACATGGTGAAACCCCGCCTCTGCTAAAAATACAAAAAATAGCTGGGCATTATAGTGTGCTCCTGTAATCCCTGCTACTTGTGAGGCTGAAGCAGGAGAATCACTTGAACCCACGAGGCAGAGGTTGCAGTGAGCCAATATTGCACTAATGACTGCACTGCAGCCTGGGTGACACAGCGAGACTCCATCTAAAAAAGAAAGAAAGAAAGAAGAAAAAAAAAAGATTTCCAGTTTAATGTCTTACATTAGGACATTAAACTGTGTACTAGATTTAACACTTTGTTTCAAGAAATGAGAAACATTCTTCGCACAAGAGTTTTGTAAAAATACTAGCGGGGGTTGATGGTGCATGCCTGTTGTCCCAGCTACTTGGGAGGCTGAGGTGGGAGGGCTGATGGAGGCAAGGAGTTGGTGGTTGCCGTGAGCCATGATTTCACCACTGTACTCCAGCCTGGGGACAGAGAAGGAGCCTATCTCTTAAAAAAAAAAAAGTTTTAACAAACAAACAAGATTTGTTCTCTTAGGTAGAAAATACCTTGAAATCCCAAATTGTCATGGCTCCATCGATGCCAGTAGTGCAAAATTTGCGACAATCTTGCTTATCCACCTCGTAAATAGAGACTTGACTGAAAACAAAAAAAAAACCAAAAGAGATTGTAAGGTATGTAGTGGAAGTGAACACAATATTCCTGACTAATAGTGTAAGGGCAGTTTAAGGACATGAATTACCTTCCTCTTCATTTTTTAAATAAAGATGGGATGGGGGTCTCATTATGTTGCCCAAGTTGGTCTTGAACTCCTGGGCTCAAGTAATCCTTCTGCTTTGGCTTCCCAAAGTGCTGGAATTACAAGTGTGAGCCACCATGCCCAACCAGGAAATGAATTATCTTTTAACCCCTGAATATAAACTTGTCCACCAACATTAGGCTACAACAATCTGGCTCAGAAAATACCCAAAAGCATTTTATTACCAGATGTCCAGGAAAGACAAAAGTGGAAAGAAGAGAAGTTAGGAACCTGCCTTACTTAGAGTAAGCTGGGGGAGCAGGCTGTTGGCAGGACACACCACGGAGAAAACAGTGTTTTTGTTTGTTTTAAAATAAACTAGAGGCATGACTGAAATCCACCTGGCTCCAAACAAAACCTCTCAAATCACCCTCCAACACAGCCAGTGCAGATAAGCTAACGGCCCTCCTCGAGTTTCAAATTAATCATTATAAATATTAGCAGCAGACATACCACCAGATTCCAACCAAGCCAAGAGGGGAACAGATAAATGAAACAACTTGTCTTAGCCTAATTATCTGGAAAGCTTTCAAGACAATCACCCATTGCTCAGACAATATTTTTCTTTCTCCTCTGAACTGTCTAGAACTTACCTCCCTCTTCCCCCACGCTGGGAAAGGGATGGCAAACTATGGCACACACTGCCTATTCCTGTACAGCCTGTGAGCTTAAAAAAAAAAAAAAAAAAGTTTTTCATTTTTACTCATTTATTTACTTTTTGAGATGAAGTCTCATTCTGTTGCCCAGGCTGGAGTGCAGTGGCATGATCTCGGCTCACTGCAACTTCTGCCTCCTGGGTTCAAGCGATTCTCCTGCCTCCGCCTCCTGAGTAGCTGGGATTACAGGTGCATGCCAACATGCCTGGCTAATTTTTGCATTTTTAGCAGAGACAGGGTTTCGCCATGTTGGTCAGGCTGGTCTTGAACTCCTGACCTCAAGTGATCTGCCTGCCTCAGCCTCCCAATGTGCTGGGATTACAGGCATGAGCCACCGCACCCGACCTGGCTTTTATATTTTTAAATAGCTGGAAAAAAATTAAAAGAAGACTATTATCTCATGAAGTAAAAATTATGCGAAATTCAAATCTGAGTGTCCATAAAGTGTAACTGTTACACAGCCAGCTCATTTGTTTACATCGTCTGTGCCTGCTTTCCTGCCACAACCACAGAGTTCAGTAGTTGCAACAGAGACCTATGGCCTCTCAGAGCCTAAAATATTTACTATCTGTTCCCTTACAGAAAAAGTTAGCTGACACAGCTCAAGCACAAAGAGCACCTAATTTCTGCAAATAAAAGTATACTAATAGGCAAGGGTTTTCTTTTCATTTTTCACCTAGAAATGTCAGAGAGGCAATGAGAGCTGTTTCTTTCCTAACACTTAGTCTGCATAGAAGCTTAAGAGAAATTCACAAGAAATAACTTGGAGTCATTCAAGACAGAGAAACCTGAAGAATGGAGAAAAGGCAAGTTTTGCTATAGATAGAGAAACCTGAAGAATGTGGAGAAAAGGGAAGTTTTGCTATGCCTTCAGGTTCTTTTTTTTTTTTTTTTTTTTTTTTTTTTTGAGATAGGATCTTGCAGCATAGCCCAGGCTGAAGTACACTGGCACAATCACAGCTCACTCCTCCCAAGTAGCTGGGACTACAGGTGCGTGCCAACACAGATGGCTAACTAAAAAATTTTTTGCAGATATAGTGTCTTGCTATGTTGCCCAGGATGGTACTGAACTGCTGGCTCAAGCGATCTTTCTGCCTTGGTTTCCCAAAGTGCTGGGATTACAGGTATGAGCTATGGTGCCAGCCCTCTGGTTTTGATTTTTCAATAGAGCACAGACATTTGCAGCCTATTTATGTACAGCTGCCTCTTCTGCTGAACATGAAGCACAACCTGCATTTCATCGTAATTCTCTCAAATAGGAAGTCTAGAGGTTTCCATTATCCCTCCCTCCATCAATACCACAATAAAAGTCTCTCAACACAAAAGCCTTCTCAATAAGGGAAAAATGCCATGGGACCCAATTTCAAACACAGTAATTTAGAATATCAAGAATATATTTCTCATCCAGACTTTTTTTTTTTTTTGGCGGAGGGAATGAAGTCTCGTTCTGTCACCCAGGCTGGAGTGCAGTGGCTCAATCTTGGCTCACTGTAACCTCCGCCTCCCAGTTCAAGCGATTCTCCTGACACAGCCTCCTGAGTAGCTGGAATTACAGGTGTCACCAACATGCCTGGCTAATTTTTGTATTTTTAGTAGAGATGGGGTTTCACCATGTTGGCCAGACTGGTCTCAAACTCCTGTGGTCTGCCTGCCTCAACTTCCCAAAGTGCTGGGATTACAGATGTGAGCCACCATGCCCAGCCTCTCCTCTAGACCTTAAAAATAGAAATTTCTAAACAAAACACAATTCTGTTGTCTTACATAATTACATATGTCTGGTGAAAAGCCAGTCGAGGCACTTATCACCTTTGTCATCATGATGCTAAGAAATTCTGTTTCTTTAATTAAAAAATCTTACTTGTATCCACTACTTGAAACCTTTTCAAACAGGCTGTAACTTCGCTTTCTATTATATGTGCACTACTATGAGAAGGCAGCATTCAGGAAGGTCTCCTTTTGTTCTCAATTGAGCTGCTGAGAAAGTGTGCCCTAGGAAGCTGCTGCCCTGAGGCCCCACCACCATAGTTTGCAACAGGGTCTGTATAGCTCCTGCTGGCTGCTATCTTGTAATCTGCAGTTTGAAGGACAGAATGACCAGGTGGTGGCGTCACTCCCTATAACAAGCTGGAAATAAGAGCCTGGCGGTCAGGAAGATACAGATTTTTGCTGCGCTTTGCCCTGAGGGAATGTCTGGGCCTTCAGGGCAGAGAGCTTTTGTAGGAACCCAGGAAGGAAACAGCGAGGGGCAGGAAGGCACCTTGTCACCTGACCACCTCTACAGACGGCACCTACGTGATGCTATTCTGGTGCAGTGTTTCCAAGGCCGTGTTGCGGTCCTCAGTTGTGGCCCTCTTGTCCATGTTGCGGAAGCGTTCCATGGCAGACATGTTGCGTTGGATGCTCTGTTTTGGAATGTCTAGCTTGGAGACGAAGGTCAGGCAGCCACGGTCATCATAGTTAAAGAGCATTGGGCAGCAGTCATGGCCCTGAAACAAGACTCACAGTCAGTCCCTGGAGGGCACACTGCCCACCATCCACCTCCTCGACAGTGTTCACCATGACAGCCCTCCCTTACTTTCTTTTTTGTTTTTTTGAGACAGAGTCTTGCTACGTTGCCCAAGCTGGAGTGCAGTGGAGCAATCTCAGCTCACTGCAACCTCTGCTTCCCAGGTTCAAGCGATTCTCCTGCCTCAGACTTCCAAGTAGCTGGGGTTATAGGCACACACCACCATGCCTGGGTAATTTTTGTATTTTTAGTAGAGATGGGGTTTCACTCTGTTGGCCAGGCTGGTCTCGAACTCCTGACCTCAAGTGAACCACCTGCCTCGGCCTCCCAAAGTGCTGGGATTACAGGTGTGAGCCATTGTGACAGGCCCCTCTCTTACTCTTCAAAGCGAGCTCTGTTTCTTCTAAAGAACTGTACTGCTTTGTGCTAGGGTGACAGAGCACACATTGTTCCCTGCCTGATCATCACATACAGTGTAGCCGGGGGAAGAATGAGGAAAAATACTCACAGCAGCCACAACGCTGTTCTCCGAGACAAATGACACACTCAGGAGTGGCAGGAACTCCGTCTTCAGAGTTGAGACCCTAAACACAGGAACATTTGTTATCCCAAGTTGCAACAGACTACCAGCTTCTTTACAGACACAGATGAGGACAGAAGACCCATTCTCATAGGGACTTCTACAGTATTAATGGGCACTTATGTTGAAAAGGAGCTCCTGACCTCGACTTGTAGGCTTCTTGAGCCAAGGGCAGCCCTGGGCTCTGGCTCCAGCCTGCGCTCCACCTGCTTCTGAGGTCCCGCCCACTCACGGCAAACTGGTTCCAAAACCCTTGTTCTTGTCTCTGTCTTTGTGCCCACGCCCTTCCACCCCCAGTACAGCTCTAAAGGGATCACCCCTATGATCCCAAGGTCTACTTTTCCGGGCCACTTCAGCCTAAAGCGGCTTCTCCTTGCTCTTAGCTCCTAGGAGCTCTTCTGTTACTATGACTTGGCAGCAAACACCTGTGCTATGACCCTCTCCTTGCCTGTGCTCACTGGAGCTCTGAGAGGGCTGTGACCATACAGATCTGTGCTGACAGCCAGGCACTGTGTTAGGAGCTAGAGCTACCAAGATCAACCAAACGCAGTCTGAGCCAGAAATTCGAATGGGCCGAGTGTGTATGTGTGGGTGCGGCAGGGATGTATGTGTGCATATAGTTATTTGCTCCTGAATCTGGCTAAGAGGTTACATAGTTATGGCAAGCAAACACACTGATTGAGGAGTTACGAGCACCTCACTTCATGCAAGAAATGATGCATTCAAAAGCTAACTGTGGCTGGGCATGGTGGCTCACACCTGTAATCTCAGCACTTTAAGGGGTTGAGGCAGAAGGACTGCTGGAGGCAAGAATTTGAGATCAGCCTGGACAACACAGTGAGACCCAGTCTCTATGAAAAATTAAAAAAAAATTCGCCTAGTGTGGTGGCGCATGTCTGTGGCCCCAGCTGCTTAAGAGGCTGAGGTGAGAGGAGCACTTGCGCCCAGGAGATTGAGGCTGTAAAGAGCTATGATTGAAGCACTGTACTCCAGCCTCGGCAACAGTGTGTCTCTCCAAATAAATTTTAAAAAGTAAAAGCTAACTGTGTATGTGTCAGAAGACCCTTCATAAAGCTGGGATTGAACTGAAGAACTAATATGTCATGTTAAGCCCTTACTGTGGTATACCTGACTTTTACTACATGAGATATTTATGTGGGAGGAGTGGAAGGGTGGGGCATGTGATCTGACCTGCAGGACTGGAAAAGGGAAAGAAGTCAATCCGAGGGTAGACAGTAGACGGGGACTTGTAACAAGCATATGCTAAGAACCTACTGTGTCACAAGAAACCATATAAAAATCAAGTAACACTGGCATCAAAATACCGAATTATTATGAAGTATCAAAAAGCAAATTACCACACAAAATGTACAGCATAATCCCATTTCTATTAAAAATGAAAAGATATATATATATATATATATATATTTTTTTTTTTTTTTTTAAGACAGGGTTTCACCGTGTTGGTCAGGCTGGTCTTGAACTCCGGAACTCAGGTGATCCACCCGCCTTGGCTTCCAAAGTGCTTGAATTACAGGCGTGAGCCACCACACCTGACCTATGACTGTTGTTATTCTAATCCTCACCACAGACCCTGATGGTCTCCCTCCTGCGCCCACGTCCCCGGCAATGCCCTCCCACCCTGCAGTTTGCACTCCAGGCCTTTTCTGAGCCCCTGAGACTGGGTGGGTCCACTGCGTGCTTCTTCCCAGCACTTTCCAGAATCATGATGAATTCATTATTTGGGTGGAGTACTGCCCTCCAGGTGAGGAATTCTGTGACAACGGGGACTGTGATTATTTTATTTATTGCCAAAGAACTCACTGGCCCAGTGAAGGGCATGGTGTGGCGAGGATTCACGGGGAATGCTGTCATTCATTCACCTAGCCATTCATTCATTTACGCAGGCCTACATGAATTGGAGGCTCCACCTCCGTCATTGACTTTTCTAGGTGACGTAGAGCAGCATCCTTCTTCTCTTAGCCTCAGTTGCCTCATCTGTAAAATGGGGCTAGCACTGCCCTCTTAGACTATGGGAAAGAGTCATTGAGATAATGGGCCTATGACACAGATATTTTGAGCACCAGTTGTTCAGCAGCCACTGGCTGTAGTCAGAGTCTTATTTGGGCACTTGGTATTACTAATGTTCTCCCTGAAACTACAACAGGAGTTTGCTCTGCCCTTTCGGGTCAAAATCCACTGACTGACCCACACTGCCTGACTACTGGAAAGGTCAGGATTGGCTGATAAAAGTTCTCTCTCTTCCCTTCCTCCCTCTCTCTCTTTCTTTTTCTTTCTGTCTCTCCCTCCCTCCCTTTCCTCCTTCCTTCTTTTTGATGGAGTTACCCAGGCTGGAGCGCAATGGTATGATCTCGGCTCACTGCAACTTCTGCCTCTCAGGTTCAAGCAATTCTCCTGCCTCAGCCTCCCGAGTAGCTGGGATTACAGGCATGTGCCACCATGCCCAGCTAATTGTTTGTATTTAGTACAGACAGGGTTTCACCATGTTGGTCAGGCCGGTCTCGAACTCCTGACCTCAGGTGATCTGCCCACCTCAGCCTCCTAAAATGCTGGGATTGCAGGTGTGAGCCACTGCGCCCAGCCAAGCTAATATTTTTTTTAAATGTTTTAGACAGGGGGTTGCAGTATAATCTGAGCCATGTTGTCCTATGGGGCCTTTTTATTTGATAATTTTGTTTGCTTTTCTTTTTTATAGAGTCAGGGGTCTTGCATGTTGCCCAGGCTGGCCTTGAAATCCTGGCCTCAGGCAATCCTCCCAAAGTGCTGGGATTCGGTGTGAGACACCGAATCATTCATTCATTCATTCATGCACACAATGAATCCACAAATATTTCCTGAGTGCCCCCTGGGGGCGGGGCCCAGGACTAGGTGCTGGTGGCTGGAGGCAGAAGGGAGGGTCCTGGGCTGCGGGGAAGACATCAGCTTATCCTCTGTGCAAAGGAAGTGGCTGAGCCCTCTGCCACATCCTGTCACCTCCACCCCCGCACTGGCTGGTCCATCTGTGTCCTTTTCCTGAACCTCTTTCATCCTGGCCTGGGCAGGGGGCTGAGCACCCCCCCGCCCCGCCCCCAGCCTACCACCATTTCCTGCCCTCTGTCATCTGCTTCCTTTGATCCTTTTGTCAGAAGACCCTTGGAAGCCTCTGAGCCGCTGGCAACTCCGGCTGCTGGGCTGGGGCTGGAGACCCCACAGGGGCTGGGACCAAAGTGGGCTTCTCTTGAGATCCTGCTCTGGGAGGCAGGTGGATTCTGGCTACATGTGTTCATTCGCTCATTCATTTATTCATTCACAGGTTCCAGGCTCTGTGCTGGGCTGGGGGCCACAAAGTCAGCAAGACAGCCATGGTGCCTGCCCTCATGAAGCTCCAGACCAAGGGACAGCAGCTCAGCCCACGCCAAGGGGCTCCTCTCTCTCTCTCTTTCTTTTTAAAGACTCAGTCTCAGGCCGGGCGCGGTGGCTCAATCCCAGCACTGTGGGAGGCCGAGGCGGGTGGATCACGAGGTCGAGAGATCGAGACCATCCTGGTCAACATGGTGAAACCCCGTCTCTACTAAAAATACAAAAAATTAGCTGGGCATGGTGGCGCATGCCTGTAATCCCAGCTACTCAGGAGNTATGTAGAGAAATTTTCTGAGAGACTACATTTTATAATGGAGGGGATAATCTTTTTAAAAAAATTAAAAAAAAAAAAAAAAAAAAAAAAAAAAAAAAAAAAAACTAGCTAAAAATGCACATTTAATCCTGTTAGGAAAAACACATCATGTCTGAACTATGATGCTTTTTACGCTGGGAGACTCTTACTGACCTTACAGGGAATACAGGTCACCCAATGTGATTGATTTTTGATACCTAAGTGGGCACGTCCATCACAAAACCTTTAATGGTGAGTTCCCTTTAACTATCAATGGAAAAGGATTCACCAGGGAAGAACAAAGATTTAAAAAAAGAAGGATTCCAATCTTCCCTCTTCCTCCAACATACATTGAACAAAATGAACTCTGATGTCTGGCCAGGTAGCTGAGCAGACATGCCACTCACAAAGAAGCCACCATAACGGAGTCTTTCTAGCACACAGCAGAGGAAGTGGCATCAAGGGTTCCTAAGCCTTACTGAATGGAAGCCTCAAATTAACGAAGTCATTGTTCGCTGACTACCCAGAGTAAGAACGTATCTCCTATTTAAGGCCGGTAAATGGCATTTACATTTTATGAGAAATTCAGGGTAACAGACTAAACTGGCGTTTGTTTTTTTTTTTGATGGAGTCTCATTCTGTTGCCCAGGCTGGAGTACACTGGCACGATCTCGGCTCACTGAAACCTCCACTTACCGGGTTCAAGTGATTCTCCCACCTCAGCCTCCTGAGTAGTGGGGATTACAGGCGCACGCCATCATGCCCGTCTAATTTTTGGTATTTTTGTAGAGACAGGGTTTCACCATGTTGGCCAGGCTGGTCTCAAACTCCTGACCTCAGGTGATCTGCCCAAATGGGCCTCCCAAAGTTCTGGGATTATAGGTGTGAGCCACTGAGGCCAGCCTAAACTGGCCATTTTTAAGGGACCCTTATCAGTAGCAAACCAGGAGCGTTCTTCAAAGGAATCATTATCAGTACTTCCCTTAAGGAGTATTTCTAGCTCTTTAAAATTTCACAACTTCAGAACTTGTTATCTGTGCCTGTCACGGTAAAGGCTGCCTTGCTGTTTTTTCTCTCTTTTTTTGAGATAGAGTTTCGCTCTTGTCTCCCAGGCTGGAGTGCAGTGGCGCAATCTCACCTCACTGCAACCTCTGCCTCCTGGGTTCAAGTGATTCTCCAGTCTCAGCCTCCCAAGAAGCTGGGATTACAGGCATATTCCACTATGCCATGCCTGGCCTAATTTTTGTATTTTTAGTAGAGACGGGGCTTCACCATGTTGGCCAGGCTGGTCTTGAACTCCTGACCTCAGGTGATCCGTCCATGGCCTCGCAAAGTGCTGGGATTATATGCGTGAGCCACCATGCCTGGGCTGCCCTGCAGTTTTGATTGAGGTTTTTATGCTTGTGCCCTGTACTAACAGCCCAGGAAGGGCAGTCCTGGTCCAGCTGGTGAGAGATCCCACCCTTTGTTCCCCACCTTCCAAATCAAAGGCAAATACTCACTGAACACTTTTTGAGGCATCAGCAACAGACACAGTGCTGTCATGGCTGACCCAGGCCAGGCGGCTCCCACTGGCAGAGAAGCTGACCCCGTGGACCCAGCCACCAGTGCCACTGCCACCAAACTCTGACATCAGCTGCCCAAAAGGCATCTTGCTACCCCAGGGCGTGCTGGCTGGCTTTTCATCCACTTCTTTAATGTAGGCAGAAAACACTCTGTTTAAAGGGCAGAGAGAAAAGAAAAAAGCAAATGAGAATATATGTATAGAGAAACAGGCCACAAGCAGCTGCTGCAAGGAATCTCAGAATACAAAGAGGCTGACTCATTAAAAAAAAGAAAACCTGGGCTGGACATAGGGGCTCACACCTGTAATCCCAGCACTTTGGGAGGCCAAGGTGGGCGGAACACCTGAGGTCGGGAATTCAAGACCAGCCTGACCAACATGGGTTAGAAACCCCACCTCTACTAAAAATACAAAATAAGCCAGTGTGGTGGGGCATGCCTGTAATCCCAGCTACTCGGGACACTGAGGCAGGACAATCACTTGAACCCAGAAGGTGGAGGTTACAGTGAGCTGAGATCGCACCACTGTACTCTAGCCTGGGCAACAAGAGCAAACCTCTGTCTCAAAAATAAATAAATGGCCAGGCATGGTGGCTCAAGCCTGTAATCCCAGCACTCTGGAAGGCCGAGGTGGGTGGATCACCTGAGAGATTGGGAGTTCCAGACCATCCTAACCAACACGGAGAAATCCCGTCTCTACTGAAAACATAATATTAGCTGGGTGTGGTGGCACACGCCTGTGATCCCAGCTACTCGGGAGGCTGAGGCAGAAGAACTGCCTAAGCCCAGGAGGCAGAGGCCGTGGTGAGCTGAGACTGCACTATTCATTGCACTCCAGCCTGGGCAACAAGAGTGAAACCTGGTCTCAAAAAAAAAAAAAAAAAAAAAAAAAAAAAAAAAAAAAACAAAGAAAAGAAAAGAAAAGAAAAAAATAAAACATGATGGGTAAGTTCAGGTACACAAACCTTTGAAATCACAGAATTATTGTTAGGGGGATCTACAAGCCAACCCAAGTTTGGCAAATCCATATTTTAGTTTTTTTGCTTTTTTCCCCCTACTCTTGTCACCCAGGCTGGAGTGCAATAGTGTGATCTTGGCTCATTACAACCTCTGCCTCCTGAGTTGAAGCGATTCTCCTGCCTCAGCCTCCCAAGTAGCTGGGATTATAGGCATGTGCCATCACACCTGGCAAATTTTGTATTTTTAGTAGAGACGGGTTTTCACTCAGGAAGCAGAGGCAAGAGAATCCCTTGTACCCGGGAGGCGGTGGTTGCAGTAAGCCTAGGTCGCACCACTGCACTCTAGCCTGGCGACAGAGCAAGACTCTGTCTCAAAAAAATAAAAATAAAAATAAAATACAACAAAAACAAAAAGAAAAACAAACAAAAAAGAGACGGGGTTTCATCTTGTTGACCAGGCTGTTCTCAAACTCCTGACCTCAGGTGACCCACTCACCTCGGCCTCCCAAAGTGCTGGGATTACAAGTGTGAGCCACAATGCCTGACTCCCCACACAGCTCACTGAGCAGAGACCACGCCACTGCACTCCAGTGTGGGTGACAGAGCAAGACTGTCTCAAAAAACAACACAAAACAAAAAAACCCCACAGGACTCTGAGTCAAAGAAACAGTCCCGGAAGTTAATATTAACAAAATAACTGCAACCTATTTTCACAACCATTAAAGAATCCAGGTGGTGTGGGTTAGTGACACCTAGTTCTATTTTCCAAGGGAGCTCTATTTTCCAGTGACTCTGGTTAAGAAATCACAAGCAACATAGGTCCAGAATATAAAGTGCCTTGACACTACCATTACCTCATCCTCTCAGCCAAACTCAAACACACATCTCTCTCTTTTTTTTT